CGGCCCGGGCGGGACCACTTCCCGGGCTCGACTCCACTACCGTACCATGATATTGTCCGCTTTGGGCTTACCATTCCCTCACGGTTTTGTTTTTGGGAACTCATGAGCAACTTCCCAGTGGGTCACCCATTATGTGATTGCTCTAGCCCCCATCTCGCTTAACTTCAGAGTTCCTATGAAACCTGAAGTTAGTGAGCTCCCAAAAAGCCTCGTGCTAGGTAAGGATGGGAATATACATATAAGGATCACTCTCCTGGGCGATGTGGGATGTCACAATCCACCCCCCTTAGGGGCCCGACGTCCTTGTCGGTACACACGCAGCCAGGGTTAGGCTCTGATACCAAATTGTCACATCCCGGCCCTGGGCGGGACCACTTCCCGGGCTCGACTCCACTACCGTAGCATGATAGTGTCCGCTTTGGGCTTACCATTCCCTCACGGTTTTGTTTTTGGGAACTCACGAGCAACTTCCCAGTGGGTCACCCATCATGTGATTGCTCTAGCCCCCATCTCGCTTAACTTCGGAGTTCCTACGAAACCCGAAGTCAGTGAGCTCCCAAAAGGCCTCGTGCTAGGTAAGGATGGGAATATACATATAAGGATCACTCCCCTGGGCGATGTGGAATGTCACAATAAATGTAGAGGGTTCATGCATCATGGGGAATGTTTTCATGTTTCGTGGTCATTTCAAAATATCTTAATTTATTTTAATAGAACCTGATTGGCAGAAAACAAATGAGCCCTTGAATTTTGTAGAAGATCCTTCTCGGAAAGTTGAAATTGCATCTCCAATGCATTGTATCACGTTTAACATAGAAAAATTAAATTGAATTAATAGCATGTAGATTTAATAAAATAATAAAATAATCATAAAAAGAATGATTAAAACGTAATACTCCCCTGATTGAATATCAAACTCTCTTTAGCGCAACGTTAAGAACATGCTGATAACATGTTGTAGGTATAATTTACTGAACAATTACAGAAGCCAAAGATAGGGGGTGTAGCGGCATAGAGAGAAAAGAGAGAGATGTTTAATTGTGAGGTATGTTCTATTCCACCCCATTCTACCTTTATTTATAGTAGTAGGAAAGGTAAATTCCATACCCCAATAAGATTACAACTCTAATAGGATAATATCTAGTCTAAGATATATGATAGAATCCCACAAGGATATCCTAAATATTTTAGGATTTACACAATCGCATTCCTAATCTAATAGGATTGCAACACAAATGGGATTGTCCCAAAGGGTACTGTTTTTATTATTGCCACTCCAAAACCTCATTGTACATTTAAAATTTTTAATATTTAAAGAAAAATATAATTATGAGGAATGCATAATAAATTTTTAGTGCTGCTAAGCTCATCCTTTTGTCTTATTTTTCTCAACTATAACTTAAACATTTTGTTGACAAATTTTCCCTCTTGCAAAATGACCTTGAAAGACCTACACAAAGACTTCTAAACAAAATTAAAATTGAAAATGCTAAAAATAAGAACCCTAAAATCGCCCCCCGTTGAGAGTGTGCCATATTAATTAAAATTCAGCGACTGAAAATGGATTTGTGGTTGTTCTACAAACTTTGAGATTGGGTGGGTTCTGGGTGTTGGGGGATGGTTTGAGATCTGCGGGTGCTGGTATTTTTGGGGGAGGGGGGATGGTTGTGCTCTGGGTTGCCGTTGTTTTTACCCTTAGGTTATTTTAGGTGGGTGGTAGAAAAAGTTCAAAAAAATTATAAGATTAAGGTTATTTTAGGAATAATGGTGGGTGTGGAGATGGTATTTCATTACTTATACTTTTAATGGTGGGTGATAAAATAAGTTGAGTTGAGAGATAAGAAAGGAAGTGGGCATAGTAACACTCTAAACTTTTTGAAGTGCAAATAATAAAACATACCCTAAATTGTTTGAAGTGCTACATTCAGTGGTGGAGTCAAGAAATAGCTTTCAAAAATCGATCGTACTTTCATTTAAAAATAGATTTCAAACTCAAATCCCAAATCTCACATACACCCATAGCTCTTACTCTAACAAAGAACAAGTAGAGAATATGAAAATACATAACAAATTTCTCTAGCACCAATATGAGTGATTGCTTAAAGGAAAGCAAACAAATAAAGCAATCCAAAGAGAACACTAAAGCAGCAACTACTGCCTTTCTCACTCTTTGCGTCTGCTTATGGTAGACTCGACCGCGCTCTTTTTCAATGGGAGAGCCGAATGCTCTCCCTGGTGTGCCTCTCATCTCTCTCCTCTGCTCACAAATTGGAACTGTCAGCAAACAACTCTTCTCTCTTCTGCTGCTCAAAACCAAAAGGCATAACAAAAGGCTCTGCCTTCTTCCATTATAAAACCAAAGTCATCAGCCTTTCATTTTCTTTATTCTTCAAAAAGCCAAAGCAATGCCTCTTCCTATTTGTTCTCTTCTTTGCACCAAAAGAAAAAGAGTGGCCCAACAAACTTATTGGGGTCAATGAATCCCATTGCACCCATCTTTAGTGGCTACACTTACTATCTATTTGTACTATTTCTCTAATAAAGTAAGGTCTACCAACATGTGTGAATCCTATTTCTACTAGAGAGAGGATACAAATAATTTACAATAGAAGGTAAGAATAATATTTTTGAACCTGAATATCCAGCGTCCGAGTGAAGTAGCTCGTGGCATTCCTCTCTCTCCGCTTTGTCAAAGTAAGTTTTGATTTCAATTTTTATTGAGAACACTTTGATATTATCTGGTGGTTTATGTGTGAGAATGTCATTTTTATTTCATGTAATGCAAATTATGCAATGCCGGCGATAAAAAATGGAGGATTATCCCGTATTATAAATGTAATTCAAAATGTAACGTAATTATTGTTTTTTTATTTATTTGGTAATGTTGGGAGACTAAACTTTGTAAATTAAATGACATAGAAGTTATGATTAAATCATTACTTAAGTGTTGATTAACAAGCCTATTTTTTATTGGTGAAACATCATTTAGTTTGCAAATTTAGTCTACCTAACATTACATTTTTTTGTTTTGGTTGATGCAATTATATAAACCGGCATTTAAGGAAAGGGATTAGTTGTTCAAAATACAAGGATTAGTTGTGGGCCTATACTACATCAACTTCAACTATCTGAATCATCTATTTTTAAGTTGCACCTCATGGATCATCCTCGCAAAATATTACCCAAATCAAAAATATTTGAGGCATTTAATTTAGTTCAAAAAAATTTACAAACACTATGTTCCGAGAAACATTTAAATATCATGGTGACAATTAAATACACAAATGGTTATGATTGAATTGTATTTTTGTAAGAATAATCTATGAAATGAGGCTTACAAAATAAACGCTTCAAATCGTTAAAATTTGATGTGGTGTAAATCCCATCACTAATCCTTAATTTTTGAAAAAAATGAAATCCCTTCTCTTAAAAGATTTGTAAAGAAGAATATAACTGAATTCTAACTATGTTTTCGCTCTCTCTCTTCACTTGAACTAACCGAAAAAACTTTTAAAATGTGAGCATGAAATACGAAGAGGCTTGCATGTAATTTGCGTGAGTTCTATGGTTTTACAATTCCATCAGTGTCGCACTATATCCCTACTTCTAGAAGAAGTGTAATTAACCCTATGAAAAAATATTTCCTCAAAAAAAAAAAAAAAAAAAAAAAAAAACCTTCGAAAAAGTACATGTATTATCTGTACATATGATTAAAGTTCTAAAAGACGTTAAGCGCTAATCGAGCAGCAGGGTTGGGGCCTAGCGCTTAGGCGGACTAGGTGGATTTAATTAAATGTATTATATTTCGTGTAAATAAGTGTTTATTTATACTTAAAATATATACAATTTCATCATAACTACAAAATAGAATGACATATATATTATGAGTTATTGGAACATAATGAAAACATAAGAAACAAGCATATAATGTGTGTTCATTTAAGTATTCAATAAGTCTCTTACAATTTATTGAAAAAAAATAAAATGCAAAATAAAAGTCATCTCTAAGTGAGTCGCAACCTAGGGGGATCTTGGCGGGGCCAGACGGGTGCCTAGGCGGTCTAGGCGAGCGTCTCAGTAGGTCTAGATGTCATTTCTTAATTTTCAAACGCCTAAGCATTAATCGGGACGGTAACCAGTCACCTAGCGCCTAGATAGAGATTTTTATAACAGTGCATATGATTATAATTTATATAATGTTCATGGACTATTTTATTTGAGAGAAAGAGAGAGGTGCGGAAAAGGGGGAAGAGAAAAAGGATTTGAGGAATTTTTTATATTTCAGTTCTTGTGCCTTTATTTATAGGAAACCGATGATGATTCTTTACCTTACAAGTTATACAATCTTAAAAGAAAATGATCTTCTAGTATCCCAATTACAATTTACTAATAATTTTAAAAGTCACACATGTGCTAGAGGTATGTTCATAACATATAAATGTATATATGTAAGGGACGTGAATATTATTTATAAAAAATGTTTTATTTATTCATTATAATTTATACCCATGGTTTAATTATTACATGTAACCAGTATAATTAATGATCTTGTTGGCCGGTTGGGTAAAGAAATTAAAGATCACGCCAAAAACATATTCGCCAAAAAAAACATTAATACCATAAAAAGAGCTCCAAGAAAAATTAGGTGGGAGAAGAGCTACGTGGTTCACCAACGACTGAGAAATTATTGAGATTACCATGGCATCAATTGACACGTGCACCCATGATGTGTAGACTGTTGTGCAGCGTACGCATATACTACTACCGTAGACCCAGCAACAAATGGCAAAGCAGCAAATACTCGCCAAGAAAGAGGGCAACCATGGTAATTTGCCCCAATGAAAGTCCGCCATTTTCCCGGTTGGCAAACATTCAATGCCCCCCTCGCGGTTCACAATTAAAAGTTCGTTGGGGTGGTTGCACTTGCATCCTCCTATTCCATCCTCCTCCTCCTCCTCCTCCTCTTCTCCTATCAAACATTATATATACATATAAGTACTCCTCAATTTCTCCATCAAAACCTCATAGAAACAGTTTGAAAAACTTCCCCTTCTGTGAGATTGATTAGTGTAGTGTTCCCGAGGCCAACATGGCGGCACAAAGCCAGAACCAGAAGGGAGAATCGAACTCGGGACCTGAGTCAGCAGGAAGTCGCAAAACTGCGCTTCCTAACTTTCTTTTATCAGTGAAGCTCAAATATGTCAAGCTAGGGTACCACTACCTAATCTCCAACGTCATCTACCTCCTACTAGTCCCTCTCATCGCCGCGGCCTCCGCCCACCTCTCGACGCTCACCGCCGATGACTTCCTCCACTTGTGGCAAAAGCTTAAGTTCAACTTCGTCTTGGTCACCTTGTGCTCGGGCCTCATGGTTTTCCTAACCACCGTATACTTCACCACCCGCCCTAGAAAAGTATACTTGGTGAACTTCGCATGCTACAAGCCCGAGCCGGCCCGCACGTGCACGCGTGAGATATTCATGGAGAGGTCGAAGCTGACGGGCAGCTTCTCTGACGAGAACTTGGCTTTTCAGCAAAAGATTCTCGAGAGGTCCGGCCTCGGGCAAAACACATACATGCCCGAGGCCTTGCTCCGGGTCCCTCCAAACCCGTGCATGGCGGAGGCGAGGAAGGAGGCGGAGATGGTGATGTTCGGAGCGATAGACGAGTTGCTGGAGAAGACGGGGGTGAAGCCTAAGGATATTGGGATTTTGGTGGTGAACTGCAGCTTGTTCAATCCGACGCCGTCTCTGTCGTCCATGGTTGTGAATCACTACAAACTTAGGGGGAACGTTGTGAGCTATAACCTTGGTGGGATGGGTTGCAGTGCTGGCCTCATTTCTATTGACCTGGCAAAGCAGCTTCTCCAGGTTTGTTACTAACTCATAATTTTCACTGCCTTTTTGCATTTAATTTTTGCTTAGTTAAACTAATATTTCTCTTAATTATCACCGACTATGGATGCCTGTGTTTTATACATGATGACCAATTCGCATTAGTACACTAGGTTCTAAATGGAATATTACTAAATCATCTTTCTATACCTTTGAAGATCATAAGTTAAAGAGAAGTGTTATTAGCATGTTTAAAATTGCTTTTTAGAATGTTTAAAAATCATTTTGATTTCGTTTGGCATAAAAATTAAAAGCATTTATGGATTATATAAGTGTTTTACTACAAAAACACTTGTCAAATACTTCTTCATGAATTACTTGAATTCTTACCACTTTTAATCGAAGCACTTGTGAACATAAGTATTTCTTACAAAAGCAATCCCTATATCCAATTTTTTAAAGTCTCATGTGGATAACTAGATTTTTTTTTTTCTTTCCAAAGTGGACAAATAGATTCATATGCACACGTACACCTCACTTGTACAGATATATTTCACCGAAAAAAAAAAACATAGAACTATTATTGGTACTTTAAATATTAATTGTGCATTCTTTATGAGAGTTTTTTTTTTTTTTTTTTTTTTTTTTTTAAATTAAATTTCGGAATGCGCAATTAAATATTTAGAGAAATATAAGTGAAAAGTAAATATGTCACCTAAAAGTGGTCGATGAATATGCATGTCTTCATAACACATGAACACACGTTGTAACAACCAATTAGACCATTCATAAATGAGTAATGCTAGGTAGGGATTAGCTGGATGAATATGCATGTGTTCATAAATACATGTTGTAACAACCAATTAGACCATTCATAAATGAGTAATGCTAGGTAGGGATTAGCTGGAATGTCCAGCTGGCATGTGGGATGTCATAAAAAGTACGCTTACTGCAGGGCAAAATAAATGGTATTGGATCCTATATGGATTTATTTTGTGAAGATAATACGGATCTCCACATCTTAATTATTTATCGTGTATCGTGCGGTTAGAAATCATTTAATTTTTTATTTAAAATTAAACACAGTATCTGACGAAAACTGGCCGCACGATGTACGATGAACAGCTAAGATGCGAGGATCTTAGTGAATCCAGAAAGAATCATCTTCCAAAATAAATAGATCGACTGGAACAGAAAAATAAAGACATATGAAAAATTAATTTATTGTTACTTTTTTTTATTTGATTTGACACTAAATTAGGTAAAATCATGTCTAAATTTGTACTTAACATGTGTAATAGGTGCACCCCAACTCTTATGCCCTAGTTGTAAGCATGGAGAATATCACTCTCAATTGGTACTTTGGAAATGACCGCTCTATGCTTCTCTCCAACTGCCTCTTCCGAATCGGCGGCGCCGCCATCCTCCTCTCCAACCGCTCCTCTGACCGCCACCGCTCAAAGTACCAACTCATGCACACTGTCCGCACTCACAAGGGTGCAGACGACAGAGCATACAGTTGCGTATTCCAAAAGGAGGACGACACAAAAAGAATCGGCGTATCTCTCTCAAAAGACTTGATGGCTGTGGCTGGAGAAGCCCTAAAAACCAATATCACAACTCTTGGCCCAATAGTCCTACCCATGTCAGAACAGCTCCTGTTTTTTGCTACTTTGGTGGCAAGAAAGGTGTTCAAGATGAAGAACATCAAACCCTACATCCCGGATTTCAAGCTGGCGTTCGAGCACTTCTGCATTCACGCCGGAGGGAGAGCGGTGCTGGATGAGATTGAGAAGAACCTTGAGCTTAGTGACTGGCACATGGAACCATCAAGGATGACGCTCTACAGGTTTGGGAACACCTCAAGCAGCTCACTGTGGTATGAGCTGGCCTACTCGGAGGCCAAGGGAAGAGTCAGGAAGGGAGATCGGATGTGGCAGATTGCGTTCGGGTCGGGGTTCAAGTGCAACAGCGCAGTGTGGAAGGCGCTGAGGACTGTTAAACCAGCTAAGGAGAAGAACCCTGGATCGATGAGATTCATGAGTTTCCTGTTGAGGTGCCTAAAGTGGCAGCCCTTGTTTCTTAAGGTAGAACAATGTCTACCTGAGCAAGTGGAAAAAGAAGGCTTGCTAATTCCAAGTTTACTTCTTTAGGCTCTGTTCATGCATAAGATTAGAAAGAACGAAAACTGTAACCTGCTCTACCTTTAGAGGTTAAGTAAACGACCATAAAATAACTATTATTTGGGAATTCCATCAAACAAACTCCACAAATATAAACCAAAGTTGCTATCTAACAGGGTCGAATGAAAATAAGCAACCGAATAGAGTGCAGGATATCAGACACATTCTATATAGTATACAACAGAATCAGAGCAGAAACATCCCTATACGGTACACCGCCTTAGTTTCTGATTCAAAAAAACTAAACTTCCACATAAGGATCCGACTAATATTTTCTTAAGACGAGAGTTACAAAGATTAGATCCTAGATTTACTTCTTAGCAGACGAACAACCAAATACATTTATAAAGAGAAAATTCATCATCAGACACAATTCTTAGTTACATGCCCCAAACACCACGGGCTGCTGCCACTTTGCTGTTTGGTCTAGACGTCAGTTCATACAAAATCCTGGCAAAGGTATCGGAATACCTGGCATCTGAGAATACTATTTCAGCAAATGCATTCTCATAAGCTAGCAGCAATGCTCGGTTCTGTGGCTCAGACACAAGGCTTTCCAATATCATCGCAGCTTTCCTGCAAACTTCAGGAACTGGATGGGGTTGCTTGATAACTTTTAACAGTCGATCAATGGCCCTGAAATTGTTTCAACAGAAAATGTCATCTCAAGCAACAAATTTTGATTTTCAAAATGGTGATCAAAATGAAATGATTCAGTATTTCGGATTCTTTTTTAGTGGAAGAGCCATTACCATCGCTCACTGGCAAGTTTTAGCCTGCAGTCCATATTCACTTCAGCGAGGTTGTAGAGTGCGCCAACTGCAGCCGCTTGGGCCCCATGCACCGTTTGTGCATCTACTGATGGTAAGCTCATAAGATCAACCAATCTCTTGTGTATCTGCAGTGTTCACTGAGCGTCATTACAATTATACAATATTTGCAAAATGTATAAACACTTTTATAACAGGGTAATTTCTGAATATTAACCTGCGGAATAAAGGGAAGAAGGAAGGGTTCATTATCAGGGTTTATGATCAAACGCCCAAGTAACTCAGCTGCCGCACAATGCCATGTTTTGACTACAGATCCCAGCATCCCCATGATGGCTTGAACTGCACGTTTTCCTCTGTTTGATAGAAAATCAATTAATTTGTAAAACAGACTGATAACAAAGAGAGCTTCAGCTCGAAAAAGAAGATCACAATTCTTACGTTATCTTTATGTATGATGGCTTTGATGAGCTGAAAATTCCAAGGTCAAGCAACGGAGCCAAATTTACAACTGTCTCAAGAGCATTTGTCACAAGTTCCTCATCCTCTGTTGACATAGAAAGCATTTGAGTCATTTTACTCTAATATCACAACAACAAAAGCATACTGGAAGGTTAAAAGGTATGAAGCTCAAAAGTGAATGAAGCATACTAAAGTCTACAAGATTTACTGCCAGTAACATACTAAAATAAACCCATCTTTGAAATGGGAAAGCATACGATCTATACATCCTTAACAACTGAACTACAAGAAGATAATAACACCAGAGAGTTTGCAACTGGATGTTACCTTAACTTTTTTAAACATTTATCTCACATGCACAGACAATTATACCGGAAAAAGAATTTTAGAGTTGAGACAAGAAATTATACACTGCAGACGGAGTGCAGTGAAGAAATAAGTAATGCTTTCCAATATAACACATTTCACCTGTGACATAATCTTCTATGCACTGGAACACTGTTTCCAGGCAATGGCGATGTTGGGCCATAATGACTTCATTTTCTGGCATGAAAGAGAAGTTGCGAATGATATTTGAAGCAGCAACAGCGCACTGCTGTCTTTCTGCTCGACCTTCTTCATCTAGGTTAAACAGACCATCTTCATCATGCCACCACTCCAAAGAAGAACGAATTTTGGTCACAGTACTCAGCACTGATGCTTCTTGGGTACTGGATCCCAAGCTGCCACATGAATAGTTTCCCACAATCAGTTCCTCATATTAAAGACAGCTTCAGACGCTCAAACCACAAATTCACTCATGAGAATACTATAAATCTGTAGAGCTTACCCAGGATGCAGGACATTGCCATTTGAACCCAATGCCTCATACTCATTTCCAAATCCTGTCACAAGCAAATTTGCACCCAGAGTTCTCACTCTCGGCGCCCTTACGTGTTCTTTTGGAAGGGCTATATCACGCCAATCATCAATCTGTTATTCACAGAATCCCGACAACATGGCGTCCAATGTCAATAGATATTGGCTGGAACAAGATAGTTCACAACTTGGGGAATGCTATTCCACACCCAATTGGTCATCTTCCCTCGTTTGTGTGCATGTTTTTAAAATGGTAATACTATTGAATTTGAAGTGCTAAATGACCAACTGAGAGCTGCTTAAAACTTGAGCATAAATATAACTATATAAATCAGAAAGCAAAAGAGTTCAAGACATACAACACTGAGGAGAGCATCAAGCAAGCCGGGAATCTTTGCAAGAGGGGTTGTGTCTTTGCGCATGTCATCTTTTTCTTTAAAAGAGAGTAACGTGAGAGTGTTCAATGCCCATGTCAGCTCACTCTTCAAGCCGCTTTGAAGTGCCAGAACTATCCTCTTATTGTTCTGATCTGCAATACAGATGATATGTATTGATAAGAATGTCGACTCCACAATGCTCGAAAAGGATAAGTATTGATAAGTATCACATGAACTTCGACTCCCATTTCGTTGCCGACACTGGTACCGGAATTATTAGCATTACTACAGCTCACCCATCTCAGTAAAGTTCCGAAAAATTGTTACTTCACTTCGTTTTTTTGTTTTCATTTATATTTCGGCAATTGGTTTTAACCCCAAGAACTTAATAATTACGAGTATCTAAGAATTCATGGGAAAATTGAAACTTCCGAGAATTTTAGATTGAAATGTGAAGTGGTAGGGTTTTGATAAACTGACCCGCGAAGGAACTGTGGACGTGAAGGGAAGGACCAAGGAGAGTCGACGGAGCTACCGTGTCGCCGGCGGCAGCGGCAGCAGCTGCAGCGCTGTTTCCGCCGCTTCCAAACGGGCGGCCTCTCTTCGCCGGCGGCTGCGAGGTTCCGCCACCTCCGCCACTGGACTTGCTTTGCTCCCTCTTCTGCATCTCCCTCTCTCTCTCCGGTGTCTGGTCTGGGATCGGATTATAATTTTAGGGCACAGATTATAAATTTTGACCCGGATCCATCCCCGTGAAATTGTATGGGCTTAAGTGCTTCTTGAGTTATTAGTGTGGGCCTTCACCCACATTACAATAAAAAAAAAAGTGCTAACGTTTTGCAGTCTTTTTGCGTTACTTGTCGTTTTTTCTTACATACAATCAATAACTCTTATAGATGGCTTTGGATTGTAATTCTGTAAATCATAGATAGATTTGGTTATTCGTTGTTTTTTTTTATTTTTTATTTATTTTTATATAGGATATTTACTTGGAGGACAAGTAAACCTTTCCTCAGAATCTAAGGGATGTAGTCAAATTTGGATTTGAGAGAATTTTAAAAAACTTTAAAATCCTAGTATAGCCTATTAAAATATTTTAAAGAATTTTAAAATCCATGCAAATCTAGGTGTAGTCCATTGAGATTTTATTAGAAATTTTAAAGTCCATCCAAATCTCAGTTTATTAAAAAAATTAAAATTTTGAAGGATTTTAATAAGTTGTGGATTTTACGGGATTTGGGATTTGAGAGCAAGAAGTAAGACAAAAAAAATCCAACCTCATCCCTAAGATTTCAAATCTTTTTCCATCTGGCCAATCCGCATAAACCCTTTTCAAGATTTCAGGCAAACAATGTCAAGTTTTCCACCGGAGCTCGTCGTCGACATCCTTTCATGGCTTGCTCCGGAGGATTTGATACGGCGGCCAAAACTTCATCAAATCCCACCTCCAACGCTCCATCCAAACCAACTCCACTCGCGCCATTTTACTCACCTCATCTGATTCGGTCTTATTTTCCTTGCCCTTCGGCGGCAATGAAACGTTCGGGTCAGCCGTCAAGATTGTGCCCGCGCTGAAAGATACTTGGATCTTGAGATTGGGCTGGTCTGTTAATGGTCTGTTTTGCATTCTGAACAAAGAGAATGGGGGCTTTGCTTTGTGGAATCCATTCATCCGAAACTTGAAGGAGATTCCGCGCAGCACACTTGAGCCGCTGCCACCCCTGGTTTCGGGGCGTTCTGCCTTGTATGGATTCGGCTATGATTCCGCTAATGCTGATTATAAACTTGTGGGAGTAATAGAGTTTTACAATTCGAAGAATGTTATTGTGAGTTGTCGTGTTGAACTTCATGGAAAAGCATCCAAAACATGCCTTGCGATGGATTTAAAGTATATCCAATTTGTTCACGTCGTTTATTGTTTATAAGTGGTGCTCTTTGTTGGCTGATGCATAATAATACAAATCGGTTGATAATTCTATCCCTTGATCTTGCAAGTGAGAAATATCGCCAACTTCCCACCGCATATGTTGGGAGTGGGGAGTGGCCGCACTTATCTGCTTCTACATGTCTTGGGAGGCTGTTTATGTTTTTGTGTTAATTACTGGAGCGCCCGACATGATGTCTGGATTATGAAGGAATATGGAGTGGCAGAATCTTGGACTTTTCGTTTTTCCGTTGAGATGGAAGTTCTGCCTATGGGGTTTGATTTACTTTGCAAACCTTTGGTTTTCTCAGAGAATGGTGACATGGTTCTTTTGACGAATGACAATGGTGATATTTATTGGTACGACTTAGAGAAAAAAAGTTTCAAACGAGTTGAAATTCATGGTGAACCAAGTACCTACACAGCAACCGTCTGTGTGGGAAGCCTTTGTCTTCTTGATGGCGATTCTGTAGTTGCTGAGAGGCAGTAGCAAGTTGGCTCTACCTCTAAGAAGAGGAAATATTCGAGGAGAGTTTAGGCTCTTGATGTGGTAGTCAATGCAACAGAATATGATCAAAACTAGGGAGGATAGCAGTTAATTGAGCGGCAAGGGTGAATTTTCAGGTGCAGATACAAACTTACAAGTACGCCAACTTATGCATCTTCCT